ATTTGCCACTTTCCCAGGGCAACACTCCAGGGTACTTTCTATAAAAATCTTGCTCTGGAAATTAGGAGAATTACTCTCATCTGCGCGTTTTCATTGAAGTGGTTCTGACCTACACATTTTACAATGAATAAATACCACTGTTCGTTTGTATTATTGGTTTTTCTGTAAACTAATTTGTGCTATCTAGTTAATCATAAATAATTTTACACGAATAATCAACAATTATCTCTCTTGCTATTAGCCTCTGAATCATGAGTTTAGATAACTTGTGAATAAAGATGAATGTGATAATGTCTGCGAAGTAATTATGTGCGTAATAAACAAAATAGAGATCTTTTAATGTAGTTCAACATTCAATTTTGTGTGGCAAATTTATTGTTAAATAACATTAAAATAATTAAAATTAATGCTTCGAATCACAAAACTAACTTTTAAAACCGAATTCTTTAATTTTATTTGGGACTGATGATGTACGCGGAGAGATCTAAGGCCTGAGTCCTGAGCTTGCACAGCATTTTGCACTTTGACCTCGAGAGCCAAGCGCGAGCCTCGTAAGTGCAAATGCGAAAAATTGTAAGTGTTATTAAATTGTAAAATTTTGTTAGTTAAAATTAAATAATACAGTTTAAAAATTGCCTCTGCTTTGAAATATGGCGTAATAGTATCAATGAACATCAACTAAACGAATGCATACAATGGTGGATTCACAGCAGTGTACAGAAGACCGTAAACAGTGAATTGTGGTCTTGTTGTTTAAAATATCTTCCATTGAAATAAGTGCGATAATGATTTCACAGCTTAGACGCCCCGGCATTCAATCTGCGCGCCGCGTCGTGAAACGCCAGTCTTCTCCCCTCTCCGCAAAGGTTCCTACCCCCTACTACTTGCAGATACGGCTCTCAGACGGTCGGCTCGTAAGTGCAGAATGCCCGCGGTAGTGGGCTTTGCGCGGGACTGCTCTAAATTGTGTCACAAAATATCAATATCAAATGTTTCTTAACAAATATTACCTGCATTCGATACACAGAAGGATTTCAATTTTACTTGGTATAGCGATCGGTCATACCGCGCCGGCACGTTGACACTTGTGCAACAATCACTGTTTGTTGAATCTACACGTCCAGTGACTCAGTACCAACCTTGTTAATGTTGATCTATCTTTAAACATTGTGAGAGGTGGTTTCTTTGTAGAGTTACGTATTTTTTGTGTGGTGAGGTATGAGATACTGCCGATAACAATTGCGTAAGTTTTTATTTTCACTTTAGAGTTTATTAATGAGTACTCTCGCACTTGTTTCTCATTGAATTTCATTGGACATGTTGCGACATGTATGTTCGAGTAAATCATGGAACGATGTTTGGCCGAAAGGAGCGACCATTTAAATGAATTTGACACTAAACTCTTCGAAGATCCTCTGATAGTCATATGTATGTCAGGTAATGTAAAGCAGACTATAATATATCTATTCGGATTTAGATCTATTTACCCACCTAATATAGTCGTTATTTAAATATGAAATTCATACTTCCATTTGAAGAGTATTCTTTTTCATTAAAATGAAATATATGATATCTATAATATAATTGTGATAAATGTAATTTTAGAGTATACACGAATATGCGTGTGAATTTTTGCTATCTATTATAATAAGTAATTTTTTTACAGTAGGACGCCAGCTTCAAAACCTAGTCGATTTGACAAACTTCCGTTCTACACACCGCATGAACAGAGAAATGCTTATGATTATACAGCATGTGCTAATTTGTACTTTTCGTTCGTCATGTGATTTGGGCGTAAATAATAGTATATGACATTTAGAAGGAAATCGATATTAATAAATTTAATGAAGAAAATGGTGTAGCTTTCCTATTCTCGAAGTGATTTTAAAAACATACAACGTCAGTAATAATTATCTCATACGTTATGACATATGTAGTTCTTTTTGTATAAACCGTGGCATTGCATTGCTTTTTCGTATGAGACGTGAAATACCAGATAAGGAATGCCTAATTTGTTCTTCACAAATTTATATTTCTAAATGTATATTTAACATGATTATGAATATTTGAAATAATATTATAAACCTAACAAGCAAGTATTCTCAAAGCAAACATTTTGTTCTTAAATAAACTTTGATTGACAAATTTCTCAATTATGATCTCCAAAAATCATCTTTTATTCGTAAAAAGTAGCTTTTGCTTATACACACGCGTAATAAAGGATTCAAACGCAAAGCTTATTATATAGCCACCTACGTAATATAAAAGAAATAAATTAACCCCGACAACTCTCATGAAATTATTTGCACGTAATTTGTTTGGCATATTGGTATAATGGTAGTTATAATAATTAAATAATTATTAAACCGTAAGCTAGGTATATACTTCGCGTTCTGAACTATATTATTTTTTAAAAAACTTCTCTTTATAATTTCCCCTTGTACGTTTTTCCCTCAGTTGACTCTCCAGCATTCAACGCAGTTCGTAGTTTCATATTTCAGTTTATTTTTTCTTTTATTTCTTTCTTTACGTTCACATTTTTTGACGGTGCATTATTTGGTATTCCTTTATGTCTTGAACCGCATTCACGAGGTGCCGGATCCTTTGTTATTCGGTGCGACAGCTACCCTTAGCGAACTGCAACCTTGTTATCTCGCCACCCATTGGGGCTCTCCGCCCTCTTTCACCTTTGTGATCACTGATTTTTTTGAAAAGTTCTCACGATCCATTCAGTCGTCATAATTTTAATGTACAGACAGTTGAACCTTTCTTTATATTCATGCGCTGTAGTAAAAATTCTGACCGATAATACTCAATGAACTGGTAGAAAAATCGTGCGGCATTGTTATAGTGTTGGCACTTAAATAATGTGTGAAGTGTAATTAAGTAGAAATAGCTATTTTACTTGAATATATTTCTTAATAACTTAGTGAGCGAGTACAACGGAAAATATAATCCCGTCAAGTTTATTATTGAAATGTGACTTTATACTTCTACAGTTGAATTATAATTTACCTTACCTATTTTACTCAAATATGTGAAGAATTTCCTGCATTTTGTGACCTTACTGAAAAAGAGAAAATACTATCAGTGTGTGTATTTAATTTCATCTAAGTTAGGTGAATTTTGCTCTTTTACAAATGAAAACGTGTTTCGCTGATACTAATTTATGTAGTAAAAACTGTGAATAAGGAAGGATACTCTGATATATCATGTTGATTTAGTAATTAAAGAGAAAACCTAACATCAATGATTATCAAATTGCCATCGCTGAATTATAAAATAAATTATTAATGTATAACTGGTTTCATATATAAAATATTTATTCATTCTCAATTTATAGCACGAGTACTGAAGGCAATACTGTCCCATTCCATTAGAAATATATTCCCCACAATACAAGCCCCATAACTTATTTGTACTTAACAATAACCCGAACAGAAGAGTAACAAACAATTATTTGTGTTACTCTTTGGCTTCACAAGTACATTATATAGGAAAACAGTAACTGTCGGCAGTCACTTGTGTTCACTAGTTACCCTAACATGGGAAACTTAATTACGAGAGAGTGAAAAATGTATATCATTTTTCACATTGTTCTTGAAATATATATGAAGGGTAATTAACGCATTTGACGAAGACTTTTGATTTCAAAGGACAAGAAAACATCAATAGACATTTTCATTTAATACATGAAGATACACAGGATAAAATTAGATAAATTAAAGCATAAGATAATTCCAAATGCATACATATTCCTTTTACTATTCTTAATTATGGAAGTGAAAAATAACTTTTCTGCTGTCATTGTGGTAAAGATCCCTGCTGATGAAACGAGAATAGAAATTTGCATCGCAGATGGTACATAAAAAGATACATTTCCACAACTAAACTGATCCTAAAGTAAGAAAATTAATTTATTAGGAACCTAATATTCTGGAATTTCCTGGAAATAAAATACTACCCTGTTGTCCCGCTTACGTTTTAGCTACGTCCGTGCACTTGGTCGTGTTGTTTCATTTCGTAATATCCTTTTAGTCGATGTTTATTTCTTCCATTTGCTCACATTACGTTCACGTAACATTTTTCCATCCACTTCCAAGTCGTCACCTCATGCAATTCAAATCATACAAATGGTTTATGCATTGATGTCTTTTTAGTTTTGCACTGTATATTTTCTGTGTTTAGTTTCAAGAAAACTTGTGTCGATATTGCTTTCGCAATATTTTAAAAATCTTTTTAACTGTTCAATATGTTGGCGCAACTATTTACATTTCGATACAAAATTGTCTTTCTGCGGAATAACATTTTCTTGAGACAATATTGATGAATAAATTTGGGATCAATTCGAATGGACAAATGTTGAGTTAAAATTAGACTTTATTTTGCTACTTGTTAGAAAATTGGTTTTCGCTAAGAATTTTGACATGATCACAATACTATTGAATGTTTTGACTTTTGTTAATATTTTGTATTATTATAAAACGACAATGTTTCATGAAAAATTCGAATTAGAAATAAGCTTCAATTATTGATCTTTCAACATTAATAGGGCAACATTATAACTGAGTTTCATATAATTGAATTCAGAAGGAAAATATTAATTGACAATTTTATTAATAAAGGGAAATATTTTTTTCGTTGTACACGTATTTTTGTATTTGTCATCAACAATATTATATTTACTCTACTGTTTTTACTCGTTCTATTCATATCTGATTTCGGTTTCAAAGCTTTTAATTTTTTTACTAATTCCGAACTGACTAATTCTAATTGTATTTTTAGAATTAGATCCCTCCTTAAGCTCAAAACTATGTCATTTTTCATCAAGTTTCCACCCCCAAAGTTTTTCGGATTAAGTTGTTAATTTTGCCGTAGGATATTATTTTCCTATTCGAAGGGGAATTAATTTCTTAAAAATTAATTTTTTTTGTTCAATGAAATTTGATGTAAATTTCTTTCATTTGCCTTTTTATTAACTAATAATTCCTTTTTTTCAGATTGCTTATCCCAGTTACACTAGAAGACACATTTTACTAAACAGAATATCGGCGCTACACATCGTTATATCTGATTCGGCGAAATGTTCAGGTATGAGCAATTGATACGGCGTTTAAGTTACATAGGCTTTTAAAATATATACCATCTTTTCTTTTCTTAATGATGTCGCCTCATCCTCGGAGTCAAACCGAAGCACCTATTGGAATATATTTAATCTTTCAAAAGCTTTTGACGTCATTGATCATAACATTTTACTCTAAAAATTAACTTCGTATGGTCATGTTGTTGCTCTATATTGGTTATGTTTGTACCTTAAACAACAATCTGAGAGAGTAGAAATACCTTCCTGGAATAATGGAACATTATGTACACACCTTTCTGATTCTTAGACAATTGCATGTGAAGTCCCGCAGGGATCGATTTTAGACCCTATTCTCTTCCTACTATACGTAAACGATATGCCCTCTACGATTAGAAACGAAAGAACAGTTCTCTTTGTGGATGCTACGAATATTATTCGCAATAAAGAAACTGTAAATGGTACAATATCAGATATTTCAAATTGGTTCCGTAAAAACAAATTAATAGTAAATAAAAAGAAACCTCTTTCAATTCAGTTATTCATTTCAAATACAGAGCTCGGCACTTCACTGAAAATGAACGGTGTGCCATTGACTGTTGTTAAGGTAACAAACCTTTTAGGTCTTTCAATTCAGTCAAACCTTAAATGAATTGAACACTAAATTAAGTTCTTTATGCTACGCTTTGAGAATTCTTTCAAATTCAGTCTCCACACTGCTCATTGTGTATATTTTGCGAATGTTCATTCCCGTTTGAGATATGGCATAAGATTGTGGGGAAATACATCTTATAGCTCCCAGACTTTTAGATTACAAAAACGAAGTGTACGAGTAATTGGCAAATTCCGCCCACGTGATTCTTGTAAGCCTCTCTTTATTAATTTAGGTATTTTACCATTATCATGTATCTTCATATATAAATTAGTGGTTTTTGTCAAAAATGACTTGCTTAAGGGTGGGAATATATTTTCAGCAAACACCGTTGTCTATAACTACAACACTCGACGTAGTGCTCATATTCATCAGGTAACAGTATCAACATCTCACTACAAAAAATGCACATGTAATACATGTACATTGTTTTACAACACCGTGCCAGATGACATTAAACGATTAAATTCGATACAAAAGTTTAAGTCCCAAGTAAAATCTTTTCTGTTGCATATCTGTTTCTATACAATTATAGGATATACCGGGCATCCAAAAAGAAAGTAATATGAATTTTAACATTGACATTTTTTTATTATATATTATATGGATTGTATAATTGTAAAGAAGCTGTAACAAGTATTGTACTTCAGTTTCTGGGTCAATGACCCCATCTCGATGAGGTTTTCGTCCAGTTTCCCTGATCCTGGAGCAAATGCTGAGATAACCTCTTGTTTTATTCTCGACATAGATGTAACTAAAAATTAACTTCTCACCATAGCACCTCCAACACACTTTTTAACTGTTTTAAACGTATATAAATAAAATAAAAATTGCACGACTTGTAATGTTGCGATCACTAGAGATCTGCATACATATATTATGTTCGCTTTGACATTCGAGAAATTAAGGTATTTTCGGCAATTAGGGTAGTAGGCTAATGTACTTCGGTCTGTTAACGTATGATGTAATTATTGATCGTTTGTTTTAAAAATTATATCGGTATTTTCAAAAGATATAGTTTTCATACGTAAACTGCAAATTGATATTTAATTGTTATAATCGAATTCATTAAATTCGAAAATTCGGTTTTTTATTAAAGTTTATAACTTCCATTACTTCTTTATTGCTACTTTAAAAAAACGACGTCGCGAATACTTATGAATATAAAAGTAAATGAACGTGCACCCTGCAACGAATGTGTCTTCTTTTATCTCCAGCACCGAACCCGTGCGTGCAGTAACTAAAACGGGCAAACGTGCGTGCGTCATCGGACGGCGCATCTTCCTTGCACGCGCGTACAGCGTGTATCGACGAAACGTCACGCGATCATGTAACTCTAATGAGACGCGAGCGGCAGACAGCATCGTCCACCATCACCTTCTGCTCCCGCGCGCAGGC